TGTCCTAACATTTGCAAATGGAGCAAGAGTTGCTGCGTTAGCTATAGGGACTTTTCGTTTATGTTTGCCTTCTGGACATGTATTGGTATTGAAAAATTGCTTGCATTATAAGAATGCTGTTAGGAACATCATCTCTATACCTCGTTTGAGTAAAGAGAATTATGAATTTTCTTTTGCTGATGATGTATGTTCTATTTATCATAATAGGAGATGTGTTGGTTCTGGCTTATTAACCAATAATCTTTATACCATTACAATGTTCGGTAATGCGATTACCAATGCCAATAAGCAACAAAATAATGATATAAATGCCATAACTAATAAACGCCCTAGAGATAGTCCAAACCCAAAGTATGTTTGGCATCTTCGATTAGGTCATATTGGAGAAGATAGAATCAACAAGTTGAGTAATGATGGATATATTAATCCATCAATGTTTGAGCCATACTCGGCTTGTGAGGCATGTCTTCTAGGAAAAATGACCAAAGCGCCTTTTGTGGGACATAGTGCGCGAGCTCCTGACATACTGGGATTGATACATACAGATGTATGTGGACCAATAAATGAAAATGCTAGAGGTGGTTATTCTTACTTCATTACATTCACCGATGATCAGTCACGGTATGGTTATTTGTACTTAATGAAGTATAAATCCGAATCTTTTGAAAAGTTCAAGGAATTCAGGGCTGAAGTTGAGAAACAAACAGGAAAATGTATTAAGGCTCTTCGATCTGATCGAGGAGGTGAATACCTTAGTACTGAATTCCTAGACTATCTTAAGGATAATGGCATTGTATCACAGTGGACACTCCTGGAACTCCAGAACACAATGGTGTATCTGAAAGAAGAAATCGCACTTTATTAGATATGGTGCGATCTATGATGAGTTACACTGATTTGCCTATATCCCTTTGGGGATATGCCCTCGAGACAGCCGCATATGTACTGAACAGAGTGCCATCCAAATCTGTTCCAACTACGCCTTATGAGATATGGCATAGTAGGAAACCAAGTCTTAATCATGTTAAGATTTGGGGTTGTCCAGCTTTCGTCAAGAAGCTAAAAATGGAAAAATTGGAGGCTAGGTCTGAACAAGGTCGCTTCATTGGATATCCAAAGGAGTCTCTTGGATACTATTTCTATTTTCACTCTGACCTAAGAATTTCGGTCAGAAGGCATGCTTCTTTTCTGGAGAATCAGTTTGTCCAGGAAGGTGGTGCTGGACGGAAAATAGTCTTACAAGAAGAGAAAAATGAAGTACCAAATAACCAAGTTCAAACACCGATCTCTGATTCAGTGGGAGCTTCTGATACACAACCTCTTAGGAGGAGTGCGAGAACGTCTCGTCCACCTGCTCGTTATAGACACTTGGTTGAACATATTGAACCATTATTCATTGTGAATGATGGTGATCAACCTAGTGATCCAAACACCTATGAGGAGGCGATGTCGGACATCGATTCTGGTAAATGGCTAGAAGCCATGAAATCCGAAATGGATTCAATGTATTCCAACGAAGTTTGGACCTTAGTTGACCTCGCTCGATGGTATTGTACCAATTGGTCGTAAATGGATTTTCAAGAGGAAGATGAATGTTGAGGGTCAAGTTGGAACTTACAAAGCACGGTTGGTGGCGAAAGGATATCGTCAAAAAGAAGGAATCGATTATGACGAAACTTTCTCACCTGTAGCCATGCTAAAATCCATTCGGATTATGTTGGCTATAGCTGCACACCTAGATTATGAGATATTCCAAATGGATGTCAAAACGGCTTTTCTAAATGGCTTTCTTGAGGAGGACATCTATATGGAACAACCACGGGGTTTTGAATCCAATGGTGAACGTCGGAAGGTGTGTAAGCTTAAGAGATCCATTTATGGACTCAAACAAGCCTCCAGAAGTTGGAACATCCGTTTTGATGAAGTAGTCAAATCGTTTGGTTTCATCAAAAACCCGGATGAACCTTGTGTATACAAGAAGGTCAGTGGGAGTGCAATAGCATTTCTAGTTTTATACGTCGATGATATACTTTTGATCGGGAACGATGTACCGATGATATCATCGATCAAACTATTCTTGTCACAGAAATTCTCCATGAAAGATTTAGGAGAGGCAACCTGTATTTTAGGTATCAAGATCTATAGAGATAGATCGAGACGATTGATTGGCCTCTCACAATCTATGTACATAGACAAAGTGTTAACACGTTTTAACATGCAATGTTCTAAAAGAGGATTATTGCCTTTTAGGCATGGAATCCATCTTTCCAAGGAGATGTGTCCCAACACTCCTGAAGAAAGAGAGCGGATGGCAAAGATACCTTACGCATCTGCTATTGGAAGCATAATGTATGCTATGTTATGTACGAGACCTGATATTGCACATGCTGTAAGCATTACTAGCAGATATCAGTCTGATCCAGGGGAAGAGCACTGGATAGCAGTCAAGAATATCCTTAAGTACTTGCGAAGGACTAAGGATTTATTCTTGATATATGGAGAAGGAGAGTTTAAAGTTGAAGCTTATACTGATTCCGATTTTCAATCGGATCCTAATGATTATAAGTCTACATCTGGGTTTGTCTTTACACTTAATGGTGGCGCAGTTAGTTGGAAGAGTTCCAAACAGAGCATAACTGCTGATTCCACCACTGAGGCAGAGTATGTAGCTGCTTCAGAAGCAGCAAAGGAAGCCGCTTGGACGAAGAAGTTCATTTCTGAACTTGGAGTCGTTCCTTCCATTGCACAACCAATAACATTGTTTTGTGATAACAATGGGGCAATAGCTCAAGCGAAGGAACCAAGGTCTCACCACAAGTCCAAGCACATTGAGAGACGCTTCCATCTCATTAGAGAAATTGTTGGGAGAGGTGATATCGCCTTGCAGAAAATTGCCTCAGCGGAAAACGTGGCAGATCCCTTCACTAAGGCCTTACCTCAGTCTTCTTTTGAAAGACACATTGACAAAATGGGTTTGAGGTACCAAACAAATTGGCTTTAGTGCAAGTGGGAGATTGTTAGATGTATGCCCTAAAGTTACTATGTAATAGTTACATGTTAGGGATTTAAGTTGTACTTTCAATTACATTATTTATTTAATGGCAAGGACGCATTCATTCATTTGTCCAATTATTTAAATATATGAATGATTCCATAAGATCAGTTGTGACTGGACCTATTCTTGAGACGTTAAGAATATGTGTGACAGGTTCACAGTTAGACTGAATCTTTAAATTGTTCTCGGTCGATGGATCATTGAGTGGATATTAATGATCCTGTTGAGACCGGTGTGTTCAGTAACTTCACCAATAAGTATTGGATACTTAAGGGAATGACGAGTCACGAGTCATTGGATATTGCGATACCCGAGTTAGAACACAGGTGCTTGTATCAGACAAGTTCACTGAACGTGACATGCATAGAATGATTAGCAACATGGAAACTTTTAGCGTGGTCAATGTCTAATCGTTCGTGCTCTGGTTTTGTGTAAATAATCCTTAGACCTGAGGTACAGTGTTGACTTGTATGTTGGATGGCTATGGTTCACAGGTGCGTATATTGCCGCTTCGTTGATTCGTCTCTGTACTTGATGGCCATAGTTCGTTCACATACGAAGTTACACGTGTGCGCAAAATGGAATCTGTCTCCTTGTTATATGCAAGGTACAATAATGATGTCCTATGCAATCTAATCTTGACACTGCATTGAAATCCTCGGCCGGGGTTGTAACCGAGAATGAACTGTTCATGTCTCATATAAAATGTATGTCAATTAGATTTGTGCATATGATCGAATTGGTGACTTGACAAATACTCCATGGTCTTTGTTCGATCGGGACATAGTAAGGCAGAGGGATTGAATTACACTGTAACCAAAGCTGACAGGTTCATTATGTTCTTAAAACATTCACACTATCTAGGTAGCCATGACATATTGCTAGATGTCAATCGTGGCTTGTAGGACCTAGAGGTTGATCGGGACAATCAATTCTCTTGGGAGTACTAACGTGTTAGTGCAAGTCCTACTACTAGATCAGTGATGAACCTAGGGATGTCACACACCATAACCAATTTAGAATGACGTTATACGGAGGATGCAATATTGCAAATATGTTTGCAATTATAGCAATCGATTAGTCAGATTGAGATTAAATTAAATATGATTTAATTTAATTTTATTTCAGTCATGATCGTGCGTGCATATGATGCACACGCAAACCTAAAGTGGCACATGTTAATGTGCCATATGATTTTACACTCTTAATTTTATTAATTAAAAGTGTACACGGTCAACAACGGTCAGCTCCTTACTGATCGTGTGTGTTTTAATTTAAAATAAAAAAAAATGAAAATGATGATGATAGCGCATGCACACGGTCAGCAGTTGACCGTGTGCATCACCCACGGTCAGCAACAGTTGCTGACCGTGGGCATCATCCACGACCAGCAACCATTGCTGGTCGTGTGCTCTATGCACACACGATCAGCAATGATTGCTGATCGTGTGAAGGGTGGCGATCAGCAACCGTTGCTGACCCCACTAATAAAGTGCTATCAGCAACGGTTGCTGAAATAGTGACGCAGAAAGGGTGCAATTAAGGGCATTATCATGCGTTCGTCGGAGTTAAGAAAATATGTTTCTCTCTTCCGACGACGTGACTGAAATATCGAGAGTGCGGAGAATTGTCGTCACAGGATTGCTAGCACAATTATATTGGTGATTACCCGCAAGTTCTTTCTTCCGTTCGTCGTGCGATTGGTGGTGTGTCTGAACTAGAGGTCCGACGCTTGTGGGGCTTGAACTGAAGAATATCCGAACCGAAATCATTTTGGGCACGCTACGAAAGGTAATTCGTTTAACCCCTATGGTCTTTCCGATTTTTGATTGAAATGCACGAACAACGCCTTTGGAGATACATGTATGGTTATAATTTTCCGCTGCGTTTATATTTAATTTTAACTATGCATGTTCCGTAGAAAAACCAACAAAGAACATCCAAGAAAGTTATGTCAACAAACTTCTTAACTATTTGCAGGAACACAGGCCTGTGAAACACCTAAGATCAAAGGGGACCACAATACAAGGCAAGAAGTTATGACCTGGTTTTAGTGTTCTTAGCTAGGAATGTCTAGTGCTTCTGCTGAGTTATCCAATGTTTGGCAAGACAAGGTGGTTTGCTTTGTATGTGAACTAGATGTGTTCTCCGTTGTGTTAAGGAGAAAGTAGTTTATGTATCGATCGCACTATGGACGAAGTATAACCGATTAATAATCGCGTGGTATGCACTCTAACTTTGTGATTGAATTTTGAGTTCTCTCACTTCTTATTGACTAGTTTCTCCAAGTGTGAATGTCACGTGACATAACCGCCACAAAAAATACCTTCTTCTAATTAGGACTTTGGATGTCCTTTGCCAAATAATTTCATGAGCAGCACAATTATTATTTTAAAGGCAGAGATTGATATCCGAGGAGCTAGAAATTTAAAAGTCAACACAAACACGACAACGAAAATACTCACCATCTATGGACCACCTCAAAATATGACACAGATAACTTAACACTTAAAGGAATTCATTAAAGAGGTATAGAGTTACGGTGATATTCTAATCGAAGAGTTCAATTCCAATATATAATTAAAACACTTACTTACCCTCTGAGGAAACCTTAGAGGAGTTTAAATAGACTCAACTTGGAACAACCCCTCTAAGTATAGGCAATTATTGAAATTACGGGATAATTATCCATAAAGTCCTAAAACTATTATATGGTGGCCAATTCAGTTTTAAACCATTCAATTATGTCAATTTAGTCCTAAAATATTTTACGATTTGTCAATGTAGTCACTCCGGCCAATTTTGGCCGGAATTCGCTAACATGGACGTCGGCCAACATACGTGGCTTGAGCAGCGCTTATGTGGATGATTTTTGAAATTTTATTAATTTTTTATTAATTTTTTTTCCTTTTTTCTTTTTTTCTCCTTTTCTTTTCGCCCATGGCTGGTCTCAAGCGATGGCCGGGCCAGGCGAAAAGAAAAGGAAATAAAAGGAAAATTTCAAAATAAATCCAAAAATTCCAAAAATCATCCATGTCAACATAGCCATGCCACTAAGATGATTAACATCCACGTCAGTGATTTCCCAAAATAATTATATTGACAAATCGTCAAAAGATTTAGAACTAAATTGACACAATTGAAAGGTTTAGAACTGAATTGACCGCCGTACAATAGTTTTATGACTTTTTTTACAATTTTTCCTCGAAATTACTATAATTTAATTCTCCAAGACAAAACTAATAATCCTTGGACAAAACATAAATAAGAAGATTGACTCTTGACTATACTTGACTCGAGGAACAAAATACCTTAGAATGGACTCAATAAGATCATAAAAAGTCTAAAGGATAATGATACAAATAGTCCATAAACTTTGGTCCAATATACAATGTAGTCCATGAACTTTTAATTTGTTCAATGTAGTCCCTGAACTTTAGCCTAATGTTCAATATGGTCCCTGAACTTTCAATTTGTTCAATGTGATCCCTGGACTTTTAGTACATGATCAATGTAGTCCTTGAACTATATAAAAATATTTTTAATGTAGTACTTCCATTAATTTAAGATCATGGACAACATTGAATATTTTCTTATAAGTCTAGTGACTAAATTGAGCATGTACCAAAAGTTCATAGACTAAATTGAACAAATTAAAATTTTAGAGACCACATTGCATATTGAGCAAAAGTTTAGGGATTACATTGAACAATTTGAAAATTCAGGAATTACATTGCACATTGGTCAAAGTTCATAGACCATTTGTGTCATTTTCCCAAGTATAAAAGATTTGTTCTTGCATTTCAAAATTGAGTATCTGGGACATAATTCTTTAGAAGACTTCAAATTGCATGAAACTTAATTCTTTTGAAAGTGTACGCATAGAAGGCTTTCCAATCATGTATTATTTGACCATATTGAAGAACAAAATCCCTTTGAAATATCTAAACAAAGTGATCTTTAGAATTCTGTCAGCATAGATGTGCTTATTCTTCAAGTAAGTTTGCATTAAGTGTTGGAAAATGTTTGACCCTTTCGAAATGACCCTTTCGAAGCGATCTTTCATCGAGGGTCCTCTTCGTTTAGGAGGTAAATGCCATCCTCAACTTACCTTTGCACTGCATGATTAACATTTAATGGGTTTCGACTGTAATGATTAACTGTACAAGGCTATAAAGCAGAGGTTGTTAGACATTCAATAGCACAAGAAGACAATGTATTGAAAATGAGAAACTTTCTTTATTGAGGTGTCAAGGCACTGGTCAATGAAATCCTTTTTCCGGTTAGTCACATTTTCAAAGGGCAAACATGTTTTCATCTACTCCGATTCATTAGTGCAAACCTCCAGGATGGTAAACAACCAGAATTTAGAACAATGGCCAATGTCGTGAACAATGTTTGATCTGCTAGCATGAGATTTCAAATAAAACAAAATCTCCTCTATGATTTCGTGGAACCCTCACAAATGTAGAACGAATAATACTTTATCGCTTAAGTGACGCAAACATCCGTACAGGGAAACACCATTCAAGTGCGACATTCTCCACACATGCTCTTCGGCGGACTAGTAGACACAACTGAAACGACGCAACAATACAAAAATGTCTTTAGAATGAATTGATGTGGCACTTCGAAATCGTCTTTCGAATGAACGGACATCATTGAGATTGATGTAGCAAAATACGGCTATCCACTTTCATTCGAGTCTTTTCCATTTTCATTGTCCGACACTACAACTTAATATTACAATCAACATGAGAATTCGTACATGTATATGCGGCTTGCGAATGTGACCACGTTCACGCGAAGAGGCGACTCCTATCTTTTACCCTGGGCAATTGTGGCATGCGTAGCATTTGTCACGCAGTCAAAAAACACAATGACTAAACAAAAGTGCCAGAGCGATGAACAATATGCATACATGCCCTGCAGAAATACCATACTCGCAAACATAGTTGCGCTCTCGTCTTGATTTCCATGTGCTTAGTCCGGTCAGCCAAAGCGACAAAATTGTTCGACGTCCATTGCCTATTTTGTGGCCAGATCAGTTGATCGAAGCTCGAAACTAGTCAACACAAAAATTGTTGCTTTCCATTTCCTTCATCCACTAAGGTTGAGGTCGCTATATTTTCTCGAACTGAATTCAAGCCACACGTAACAAGCTTAATTAAAATGCATCAAGAATCATGTTGTACCTCCAATAAGACTTTTTTACGACTGAGGACTTTAGTATAGTTGAATTTACATTACCAAAATAAGGGAGTTTTACCATGAAAAAATTAAGTGCGCAAGTACGCCATACCACAATGAAATGTGTTATACTACTCATGAGAAGTACATACCAGGAAATACAGTCTAGCAAGTGACCTATTGATTTTTGTTGCCCCTCCCTCCTATGTACCTTCTTTCCACGCCGAGAAGGCAAGAATCACATCTTAAGTAATAACAATAGATGCATTATCTTGGAAAAGAACAAGCCTAGTGAAATTTACCCAAACTTGGACCACCAGATGAACCTAATTCAGTGTGTTTTCACACAATAAAGGGGAAAGAAAAGCAAAGAAAGAATCAAATGAAAGCTCAACAACAATACTCCTGAATAATAGAAACATAAACATGCAAAGCAGGCATAACTTTGTCTTCAGGGAGACAACGATTGTACAATCCCATTTCCTCGATAAGCTGATGAAATTCCAGGGGAAATACTACAAAAGATGTCTATATGATATCTGGATCAGTGTTCTTTTTTCTTTTCTTTTTTTGTTCTATTTTTTCTTGATAATAAGATATCGGCATAAGATGCAGAGCCAGAATACCCAGTCTGATGGAGATATCGTGCATTCAAGCAGCAACCCTAAATCTGTCAGGCATCAGGATCAACTATTCTCCGTTTGCAGCGATTTGTCTAAGTTACTAAAAACCAACATCCTATAAATAATATCATCTGTACCCAGAAGACCACAAGAAAACAAGAGTATGACTATCAACATCGACCACATGGGCATCTACTATACCTATATTTAAGCACATACATCATATCTAGTGAAAGAAAAAAATAGAGATTCCTTTATTCCCTAAACAAATCGCTCAAACGATTGCACAGAACAGTATGAAAGCAACTTGACGTACAAATCTATTTATTTGATGGAGAGGTAAGCTTATTTTCATCCGGATCATGCTTCATCGTAGAATCGCCACCCATCAACTCCTGGAAACCTTCAACCTTCACAGGTTGAGCTCTAACCATACCTACATTCCTACAGGTAAACGAAACAGTTAAGAGTTTGAGCGACAGCCCAATGAACATGGAATAGACAAATAGTTTCCTTACTGAGTCTGCATTTGGGGCATTTGAAGAGTAGACATTGGTCTGAACTGACTATTGTGTTGAGAATGGAGATTGGACATTGCCGCAATCTGCTGCTGTCGGAACTGTTGCATCTGTGGGTGTCTCATATTGACAGCATTGAATGCATTACCATCAATTGGTAGATCTGATGGGTTTTCAATTTTCACTTGGACCATGGGCCTGCTCTTATCAAAGTCCATGATGGGACGAGGACTAGAAGCCTGCCGTCTTCGTAAAAGCTCTAATTGCTGAAATGTCAAACCGTGAGAAAACTGCTGCATCTGTTGATTCATCTGTCTTGGCATCTGCAGATTCATTTGAAATTCGTCTTACAACATTGTGCTATCCTTCACTGAGTAAAAGAACTAGATGATAAATGCTTTTCAATAATCATTTGGCCAAACTATTTTTGAAAAACCACATTGAGAAATTTATAATGAAAACAAAAACCAGATAATCAACTATTTTTAAAGTATATAAAAATAAGTTGCTTTTACCGCCAGAAAGATAATTCTTGTGACCAATTCTTAAATTTGATGAGAACAAATAAGTGCCAAATTGAAGTCTTAACTTATCCTATCACACATGATCAAAGACATATCAATTCCACTTGCACTTGATGAATCTAAGGCTTCCTCAACATACTATTTGGGTATGTCACATTAAGCCATTTGCATCAGATAAGAATGTGTTATCTAATGCATCATCTGATGAAACATCTCATTCAATATATCTAGTAAACATAGTTCTATACTCACAATTTCTTCAGCCTCTCAAAGTAAATTTGTTCGACACAACTACATATAAAATTAAAAAAGGGGACAAGTCCTTCCCCGCATCATGTACTAGTAAGGCAATTGCTGAAAAAACGCCTTGAATGATCTAAATCAATGTCAATTGGTAAGTGTGAATGCCAAAACTTGTGCAATGCTCTTGTGACATGCAATCTTTTGCTGTCATAACCAAAAATCATTATTACTTAAAACCGCTATAAATAAACTAAAAACAAGTTAACCAAGAAACAAAAGAATCCACACATTACCTTAGTCAATGATCAATTTTAAAAAATTGCCATTATAACTCTAAAGGAAGACAAGATCACCCTCATACGAAGACCCAGAATTAGACCTATTATGCCCTATCCTCAATAACTTTAATAATCTGATGGGAAGCATATGAAGAGCACAGCTTATTATAATTTAGACTCTAAATCATCTTTTGTTTTCTAATATTTAATTAAAATTTCTGCTCTTCCAAATGTTTTTTAAATTTTTTGCAATCACTGCCTTCAAGTACCCAAGTTTTGTTGAATGACCAATGGCCGTACATTTAGCATATTAATCCTGTTGACTTATTAATTTGTTTTAGACATCATATTCAAGCAATTTAAAGTACATTTGAAAGAACACTATCCACACAATTTGGAAACAATATATAATATAGCTGTAAGAGCAGCATGTAAGGATATGTGGCAACATTCATCATGTAATCTAAAATTTTAAATCACATGAAAAAGGAAATCATCACATTGAGAATCCCAATTCATTAAAGCCCATGGACATGATTAAATGATTGAAATTACCCAAATTCTCAAATATTATATGCTTTTGATCTTTTGAGATCCCTGAGAACCTCTTCTTCGAGATAGTTATTCGCTTATGTTCCTGGGGACACCCTATAGTGAATATCGGAACCATTTTAATCATCCGTTTGGTAATTCTCACAGCTGACTATCATTGATATCCATACCTTCAACTATCAAAATTCTCTCGCTAGGTATCATTTTCTTTTGTCATCAATTTTATTGAGTCGAGTAAACCATCGTCGGACATAACACCCCCTTATCTACTAACATACGTACTCAAGGTTGTAACTCCAAAATGTCAGAGATGCTATTTTATGCAGAGGGGAGATGGATATGCAATAACTCTCCAGACAGGTTAAGACTTCAGGTGTAACAAATTCATTATTAACGATGCCGAGAAAAATTCCTTCCGAGGGAATTATATACTATTTTATCAATCCAAGGACATAAGTAGTATCCGTTAAATTGAGGATGTAAAATGAAATTTCTAAAATGTGAAGGTTCAACGCACAACTGCAGGTTTAGCAGAGCAGAAAATATAATTTCCCAATAAGTACTTAGCATTGACCAAAGGAATTTATCAAGCAATGCAAACAGAAAATCTCAAAATACATACTTGCTGGGGAAGTCTAAGGGCCGTTTGCTGCTGTGAATGCAATAAGGGCTGCATTTCTGGTACTTGATGCTGACTTTGCTGAGAAAAGTTCTTAGGGCCATCCTTGACAAGCTCCGCTAAGGTCCCAAGATTGCTGGTAAGGAAGTCAGAAAATTAAACATAAATAGAATAAGAAGAAAAACTACTATGGCTAGCGTACATCCTCCAATCACAATCATTGCCTAAATGCCATTACTTCTACCAATACTGAATTTCTTTGGCAATTCAACAAAGCTTGCGCAAGCATGCTTTCCCTCTGCCAAAGCAGTTGAGCCCAGTAAGTTCTGAATCTTAAATTTTGATGACACATCAACAAAGTTGAACTGGTAAGTTTTGGTTCAACAATCCTAGCATTCCTAATTCATGACAACGACAATGAAACAACAACAAGGAGAATCCTTTTCAGCCATAGGGCTCGAGACTTCACTAAGTAAAATTTAGGCTTAATAGAGAGAATAATTAAAATTCTAACTTATGAAAAAAATAACTAGTACCTTCATCAGAAATTTAAACGAGGCGAAAGAGCAGGTGGTGGAACAAATAAGAAAAAAAAAAGAGGATAGTCACTAGAGAGACTTCAGAATTACATATTTCATTATGCTCTATCGAGGATATCTTGAGCTTACCTGAACCCAGATACTTGAAGGAACATTTTAAGCAATTCAATGGCCGAATATTGCTTCCTGTAGCTATCTGCAAGGACTTTCAAGTTTTGGCTGAGTTTACAGATATGCGAACCCAGTAACTGAGCTAACACTTCCATTGGAACTTCTGTGGCACCTTCAAAACCCAAACTAGTCAACATTCGTGCAACGACTTTCTGAGAAACAAGTGATGCTCGTTCTTCACCAAGATGTTTCCCACTCCCTTCTAAACCATTTTTCCCTCTATATAAACTTCCTCCCTGTTCAGAGCTCAGGTACTCAGGCCTTATGCCAAGTCTCTCGATCATAACTGGGCTCCTGGTTACAACTTGAGGCAACGAATCAAGAACGCCACGAAACTCCACTTTACTCTTGTCTTCTAACCTATATGATACTGGCAATGCACTATCAGGTACACAATTACCCATGAACATCACCTCTGGTAGAAAAGATGTGTCATCATCAATTCCAACATCTTGAACAGGACTTGCAATCATGCTGATGGGTGTGTGCTGTGTGGGATTTAAAAAGCCAGCTTGATCATCCTTGTAGACGACACGCTTTCTCTTATGTTTCTCCAGAAGTTTGAGATAACTAAACATATCTTCAGGCGTGCGCTTGTTTGAACCTAGACCCCCATTGGATAATCTATATGGTTTACTGGCTCTATGCTTCTCAATAAACTGATCGTACCACGTCTCTGGCAAGTCTTCCTTTCTCAATCTCTGGGATGAAGCATCTACTTCTGGATCACTGTATCTTGGGCCAACACCAAAAGTCGCTCTAGATTGAGATTGCATACCCTGTCACACAGCAAGCGGCAGTTTATTGTTTATCCAAGGTCCAATCCAAAGATGTCCGCAGAAGGACGAACGCGCAGCAATTTGCCCAATACTCAAGCTTTTTGTTGCAACATTCAAGTTGAAAACAGAGGCAAATACTATGCCTCAGAATACACCTCTCAAAAGTAAATCAGCCTAACCCAAATCCGACAATTCTTCCAGAATACGGAAAAGTAATTAATCCTCGCAGAAAGAATTTTAAAGGGAATGTAACCGAATCAAACTATCAAAGTGTTCCACGCCTAACTATGGACAAGCAATCCCACGACCTTATCACATTGCAGGGACTTCATTCCAACTCAACTTCAGTGGAATGAAATGAAATGATCCAATTTCACAAAGATGATAACTCAGCAAAATCAAATCTTTGTTCAGACCAAACGATCGATGAAATTAGGCTACGATACCTTCGACGACGTCGAGACTTCTCGCTGAGGAAGGCCATCCTGCGAAGCACCGTCGAGCGGGAAGTACAGATCATCGCCGTGCAACTGCAAATCTAACGAAATTGTCCAATTCGCCAAGAGATGAAGAGAAGGAAAAGGGTGAGTTCAGATCAACAACAAACGAACGAACTTCAATCGAGAGGAGGAGTAGAATCACGGAGACAGACATGCGGGATTGAGCCTCGAGACGGCGACGGCGGAAGAAGAGGAGCCCTTCGCGGCGGCGGCGGCGGCGGCGGCGGAGGCGGAGGCGGAGGGAGGGGAGCGGAGGAAGAGGGAGGCGCTGGCCTTGTCGAAGAGGAGGGCGCGAGCGCGGAGCTGGAGGTGGAGCTGAGCCCTAGGTTTGGAGTCGTCGGCACGCATGAAGGAGTCCCAGGAGGAAGGGGAGGAGAGGAAGGGGGCGAGGCTCAGGTAGCCGGAGTCGCCCAGCCACGTCCGCCACACCCCCAAGCTCTCCAGCTTCCTCGCCAGCTCGTAGCCCCGGCCGTCGTCGCCCAGGAGCGCCATCTTCCCTTCCCCTTCTTTGACACCCCCGTCCTTCGAAGTGAGGAAGAAGAAGAGCGTCGGAGCGAATCGGAGGACGAAGGAAGGCGTTGTTGTCTAGGAGTTGTGCAAAAGAAGCCGCCTAAATCGGGACCGAACCGGACCGGACCGGTCACTTCGGGGGCGGTTTTGTACTGTTCCGATTTCCGGTCCCCAGAGAAACCAAACTGGTGATTTTTCGGTCTGGTTTCCGTTTCCGTGAGTGGAACCGCCTCCGGACCACCCGAAACGAACTGATTATATATATCTAATTTCTTACAAATTTATTAAGAGTAAGCCTTAATCCCTTCACATTGTTCACAACACAAAGTCACGAACAGAGGTATTAAACTGTTGTTTCAACCTTTGATTGCTAATCATAAGTTCCATTGGCCTGCCTGGAAATCGAATCAGACTGGTCGGTTCGGTCTAATCAAATTTCAGATAGCACCGATCCGATTCTCGATTTCACCGGTTTGGGAACTGGTCCCATCGGTCCAATTCTTGATTCCTATATGAGAACCGGACTGCTCGGGAACCGATCACCCTTGTCGTTGTTTCAGGAACCGGCACGTAACCCAATTGCCAAAACTTGCCCAATGGGCTCAGGTCCTGGGTTCGGGCCTAGGCCCGTTTGGACCTAGATCAAGTCAGGCCTATCGGCTTTCAATAGCCACCTTAGGCTAGAATTTTTTAGTGGAGGTCGAATGGCCCGATCTTCGGGAAGGTCACACTGCGGTCCCCTCCCCCTCCCATTTTCTTCGCCAGTTCTTAATCCTAGAGGTGAGCATAGTCCGGATTGGACCGGTCCAACACCTAACCCAAGGACTAACCCATATAATGTTGGTCCTCAATTTTTTAGATTGAGGATCGACCCTGTTGAGCCTAAATCGATGACGAGACCAACCCTATGGGTTCGGTCCGGTTCCAATGGGTTCGATCCGGTTTCAAGGTCAACTCGGGACCAACCGATTATTTTTTTTATTTTTTGTATTCCTTGAAAGGACAAACATATTATTTCAAATTATATATCCATCAACAATGCGATATTAAGCAATCAAACTATGAACACCAGTACATAATAAACATAAATATAAGATAAGGTAACAACATAAATTTCACACTTGTTAAAAGCAACAAACCATGAAAACAAACATGTGAAATACAATTAAACCATAAGAAGTTCAAAATACGTAATATAAGCGATTAATTATACAACTTCATATCTTGTTCATTTTTTAAAATAAATAAAAAAAGGGGAGGCAAGCAAGGCGAGAGGCCGAGGCGAGCGAGCTAGGCCAAGGCGAGTGAATAGAGCAAGGCGAGCGAAAAGGGTTTCCATTTTTTTTGGGTCAAATTAGGGTTCGATTTCATTCTACTTTCTAATTCACACGGCAAACTGAACTGCATAAGAAAGAAGGGAATAGAGGAGAAGGTGCTAAGGTTTAGAGTTGACAGAAGCATATAATATATAACATCTAAGACATATTATATATTACATATAATATAGGGTTGGTTCGGGTTTGACCAACCCTAAACTCTCAGGACTGAGGACTAACCCGCACAGTGCAGGGTCCAGGGGTCCTAGGACCAAGTACTGACCCAATCCCCCTGGAAACTGAACCAGGACCGGCCCCAGTCGATCCAAGGTCAGTCTAGGGTTGACCCTGGACCGATGCTCACTCCTACTCAATTCTCACTTACCACTTTGTAATGGTATCGCTCTCCAAAATCGTTCGACAATCCCATTTTTCCCCTTTCTCGTTACAACGATTAAATCGCGCTTTAAATATCATAATGGAAGATAACAACAACCATTTTCCCTGGTCTGGTCTACCCTGCTCCTAGCGAAACACATTCGAGTTGTTCAGTGAGTTCCGCCACAACGACGTCCATATGCTGGCTCCAGCCAAGCAGCTAGCCTTGTTCGACGACGAGGAGACCGAACGAGTGGATGATCGGAAGGAAATTCGGGGGCAAACATCGCGAGTTGGTTCTCGTTAAGATGCTATCCCAAAAGAAACCTCTACCTCCCGGAAGACAACTTCCAGACAACTGTGGCGATGTCTTCACGGGGAAGACCAGTCAATGTCGGGAGGACATTCTGGCTCGAGATCAATGCAAATGGTGTCAAGAAAGACCCTTTGCATGTGTTATGTAGCGCCAAATTATTCGGCGAATCCACGAATGGGATGGGCCACCAAAAGTCGCACGAAACTAGACATGATCTAGAGATGTCTGAGGCCCGGGGGAGCTCTTCAAGTACAATGCTGCACATCAAAAGCCCATTCAAGTATTATGAGGCGAGGAATCCGGGGGAGCTTGCATTTTGTTGTTTTGGGTCGTGCAATCCTTCGCCTTCATGGACGATTCCAGCTTCATCCACTATGTGCAAACCCCTCTACAACTTCAGTTCATGCTTGTTCGTGAACAACACACACTAGTAAATAAAAGTTGATATACAAAGAGAAAAGGCATTGTAGGTGCAACTGTTGTCCACAGGTAACCTTCAAGTCTCTTTAACTTATGACTTATGGACCAATTCTACAAATTACGCATCGAACTCTGACGTTTGAAGAAGTTAATATTAGCATGACTCCTGAAACATGGCTATCGAATAACAAGAGTTGCCAATATGAGCGTGGCATGTCTGGTAAAATCTTCAGCATCACCTTAGACAATGCAAACGTTAACGCCTCCATCTAGAATCTAGTCCAACGGATAAAGCCTATGTACAATGACTTTTTTTTTCATGTACAGTGCATGTGGCCCTACATTAATCTATGCATACAAGACAATTTTCGTCAGCTATACGATTTTGTAGTTATTATACATAGGTGGATTCAATACATTAGATCCATTTGACTCGAGCAACAAGAGCTGGAGGGCTTCTACACGATACAAGAAAGAAAAGTAGAGAATTTCTCTTTGGACGTAAAAACGAGGTGGAATTTCAATGTATAAGATATTGAAGGCATGCAAGAAGATGGATATGCTCACGGTATACTCCACTACTCATAGCCCTGGTATTGGTCTCTCTCCAAGCTTGACCCCGGTCTCGGGACTTCGCAAGTCAATGAAAACCAGAAAGTCAAGCCTTTCACTTCATTTTTCAAGCTCTTGAACATGGGTTGAGTTCATACATTATGAATTCTTTCCTATCCAAGACATACTACCAATTCCTTTGAAGCTTCTACCATGCTCCAACAAGATTAGAAAGTCGTTGCAATCTTTAAGGACTTGCTTGCAGATTTTTAGTAATGCAATGGATGCTTTGTCGTCAAGCGATTATTTAATCAATTACCTGTCTCGTACTATTTCTATAAATGATGTCGGTTGAACTTTTCTTATTGGCATGATGTTGGCTGCATGAGCGAACAAGGATGGTGATTCCTTCTTCAATGATGTGGGACAAGCCATGAAAGCCAAATTCCTCAACTATTACAAAGACATTCCAACTGTTTTTTTTCTTTTTGGCTGCCCCCGTCTTGGATCCAAGGTTCAAGTTAGAGGGGCTCGGTACACTACTTTTTAAGGCTAGTGAGGAGGTCCAAGTGGAGCACATATGAGCAACGATGAGGAATTAGCTCCATTATATGTACGATATATACGCCAATCAATCAACGAACTCTACCCCACAAACGAAGATGGCAACCTCATCGAGCAGTGACCAATCGTCTATATGATCTTTGCTTTGTAAAAAGAAAAAAACCCTACCTCAACCCCCAAAAGATTAATCAATAACTCAAAGAGTCTCAAACACCTTATTGATTTAATAAAAAAAAAAGAATATAAATATAATACGCATACAATGATATCAACTCAAATAAATTGCCGAGCAAAGATAGAATTGACAAATGTTGACGCAACACAAGGGCTTATATTAGTTGTAGTCCATGTTGGCCACGAAAACGGCACGCCCAGGATCACCATAATCAGAAACCGAAACACGTTAATGGAGAAATTATCTATTCACGTACCTGGTTTGAAATCCATCGAACTTGACGCGGAATTTGCGACGGTTTCCGAACACGAACTCAAGTGCTTCTCCCCTATACCCTTCGTTAGAACACTGGCCTAATAAGATTGCCACTCACGAGAAGAAAGTTCTCTCTAGATCCGTATGTGAGTCAAATTGTGCATCATCCGATTAGGGGAGGGACTTGAGCGTTATTTATAGAGTCTTCGACCACGAGCCTTCTCATTACGGACCGGGCCGTACTCGGCCTACACCAGCCAGCCTCATATTAGACTTCTTAAGAACCCATATATCTTACCTTTATTAGACCAAACTAATTCAGTTAATTTCAATTAATGAAGCCCACATTAGGAAATTCTTACATTCTCCCACTTGGGCGATATTAATTGAAACAAAACTGTGTGCGCACCCTTATATTGGTCTAGAGATTATTCTTAATAGTCAATCCGATCCCATAAAGTCTCGAACACTGAATCATGGCGGTAACTACATGTACTCACGCAGAGCCTTCTATGGTCACGAGTGCTTTCAACTTTACTGATATGGATTCAATATGGTAGTGTGTCAAATGGACAATACCTCATAATGAGTGATACTTCATGTGTTGTCCATTTTGTTAGTCCAAATTCTCTCTCCTTAAGTGTCACAAAACCTAGTGTGTCACCAGATAATATCCTTCATGGTTCCAACGAACTTGCATATGTCTTACCTTGATAGTTAACTGTACTTTATGTGTAACAAGACATATCGTTAAGGCTAATACCAAAAATGCCCCATAGCCTGTACTCAAGGTTTACACAATGCCTCGAGATTTTCATCAAATATGTGTACGCAACTTGATAAATCTACATTCACAAATACCTCATTGAATGTAAAAGAGTTTATATATATTCAAATATTACAAAATGTAACAAAATTAGATACAAACTTCATAAGAGCAACATAAAACTAAACAGCTCCCACTAATTAACAGTATCTCATGATACTCCTAAGCCCATGTTAATGACATGTCGATCAAATACACAAGGGCGAAGGCCTTTAGTTAGCGGAT